CCCCCCTTCCGAACGCCTTATTAACAGGTTTCCAAATGCAGACTGTGCCGCAGATAATACTTTCGGGTCAAATGAGAGCACATGAGGGCACATGAGGGAACACCATTGATCACGCCATGATGGACATTCACAGGTGTAGGATTAGAACAGAGCATCTTGGAAACCAAGGGACAGACGTAAATCATTACACTTGCGCGTGTCTTAATTCATGGAGAAATGAGTCTTTTCAGAGTGGGACGCGACTTGATCAAGACAATTGTAGAGCACAATCATACACACGACCTCCTTTGCTTCTTTTTCAACACTATCATCTATCTATTTATCTTTAATAATTGATTCCTATTTGTTTATTTATCCATCTTATAATAGCCTGGTTTACCTGCCTGGTTTACATAGCCTGGTTTACCTGATCCATTAGTCTTACGTATAAAGCGGATCTGGGAAGGGAGGGCCCAGGGGGTCTGGACCCATTTTCTTCAACGCTGACCATAATTTCCCATAATGTACTGATTTTCAGAAATACTGGATCCTCACCTACAGATGCCTGTGCATTTTAAAATTACTCAAAACATGCATCCAGTACCACTAAAGAAACCCTATTCAGTCATACAAGTAAATTAAAACGTGCAGTTTACCTATTATATTTTGGATAATATTTACAGTACAAAAACATTATATTTCAAAAACGTTCTCTCTCATAACGTTGGGCCAACAACAGGTACTTTTTCACCATTATCCCATGAAGTCGCAGGCAATATCTTATGTGGAGATGAAGTCGCATTTTATCCTATGAAGTCGATTTGACAGTAAAATCAGAACATTTATCGCATGAAGTGGTAATATACCGTCGCTTGCAGCTTCTTAAATGATATTATGTGCACTGTGAAAGACGGTGACACGCCCCTATATATGTGCAGCCTCGACGCCGAAAAATGCTTTTATATGATTTGGCACAATGGGCCATTCTATAAACTGTTTGATGTTCTCCCCGACTCGCATTTTTTATAAATTGTATAAGTGTTTAAGTGCTTCATTAAGGTTGGGAGGCTCATAAAGTGCTAATTTTAAAATTACCCGGGGAACAAGGCAGGGTAGTATTTTATCCCCGATCCTTTTTAACATTTTTATTGACGAGCTGCATAAGGAATTATCCTCTACAAACGCTGGTGTTTTAATCGGAAATACCTTATATAATAATATTATCGATGCTGATCACTTAATTTTTTTTTTACAAATGTGCCTGGACTTCAAGCGCTGATTAATGTCTGTCATGACTTCTCCCTGCGATGGAGAATGAAATTTAGTCTCAAAAAATCAAAATGTATGACGGTGGGAAAAGCCTTATTGAAAACACCTTCTTGGTTCTTAGGTCAATATCCTATGGAAACGACGGACTCTTTAAATATTCTGGGTGTGACGTTAAATAGCAACTGCACGGCGGATGACCACACGGCTGCTAGAATTGGTTCTGCAACCAAGGCATATTATGGTGCAATGTCGCATGGGGTGTGCTATATAAGGGTCTGGACACAAAACCCAAATCGTATATATTGGGTGCACTGGTGTCCCCCGTTATAACCTACGGAACTAACTCTATCTGTATGTCTCGTAAAAATATAAAAGGCCTGGATACATTACAAAACAAACAGGTTACAAGATTCATGGGTTTATCTTCGCGATCTCATACCTCTGCTCTCCTAGAAGTCAAACATATTCCGAAAATTAGTTATACTATATCTAGAAATGTAGAATCACTATACTGCAGAGTAATGAGCATTGACACACCATATCTTAATCTTTTAACTCATCAACTGTCTCATTTAATGCTTAATCGTTCCATAGTGAAGGGGTCGTTGCTCCAGAGGATTGTCGCTAGTGGCACGAAGCCGATCTTATGTTTGAGTGGGTCGGGAATTCGAAATGCTGTCCCGGACTTGCATGCACCGACAGGGCTGTTTGTTTCGCTGAGATTCTTAGTAAACAGCCCCTGCTATCAGAACAGACTCCCAAAAGAATAGATGTTGGCGGAATTGCTCTTAAAATCTTTTTAGCTACTGTTCTTATATATCCTATATATATATATAAAGTAAAAGTGTTTTTCCTGTACGAGGCCTATATATATATATAAAGAAAAAAAGTCGGGGCAAAATAGATTTCTTTTTATTATATAGGCCTATATATATATATACAATTAAAATAAATAAATAAACAAGAGACATGCAATAACCCCGACTCCGAGTTTCACGGGCATACCCAGAAGGTATACCCGATCGTCAGGAGGTTTATTTGAAAATGGTTTTATTAGCCGTTTTCCGTACACGGCGTGACGACACTTGTAAACGTCGCACGCCGTGTTAGTTACGTCACTTTATGCCGACACATGGTAATTATTTCAGTTCTTTTATTTAGAGTGTCTGGTGTTATCATTATTAACAGTTTTTCGTCCAGGCAAAGGTTGCATAGGTGCTGATTTCTCCTTTGCGGCGCTGATTTCTTTATGATGTCCCATCTAATTTAATACTGGGTGTTATTTTCTTTTAATTTCCAAATGTATTTGGATAACTCAGTTTCTGCAGCATATTTTTTGTCTTTAAATGACTTGGTGTGATTATTGTATCTCATCTTAAATTGCCCACCGCAAAGACCTATATTTCATGCATTTGTTATTAGTAGTAAGTGATGCTTGGTACACAATGTTGCTAGACAAACATTCCCCTCTCAAAGGACACTTACTTGGAGCTCTATAATTACATTTCTTGTCTTGAGTGTTAACTGACATGTTTTTGAGAATTTTTTATTGTGACCGTGAATGATTTGCTGTAGACCTATGTTTTTCATACAACAGTAACTTACTTTTACAGTCGATCTGTTGAATAAGCGGTAAAGTTTGCTTCCGCGAGGGAAATGTTTGTCTAGAAACTAGAGGAATATATGTCCGATTTTCGTTCTAACATTTTTTGAGTATGGTGGGTTGAACCAAATAAGTTTCCTGTTTCGTCTTTTCTTTTTACTGGGACGAGAGCTGCTTGCTGTATAATTATTAACCAACGACATTACGTTATATCCCGCCATTTGAAGCGCCGTCGTATATACGTTATCTGATCCTTCTGCTACCACGAACTGACCACGGATCATGGGGAGAAAGACAAGTAACCGAACAAATTAGTCTGTTCTCTCCATTTTAATTAAAAAAGTTCCTACAGCTGTTTCGTCCCGGAGGCCTAGTCAGGGGCGCAAACAGAACAAAATACAAAAAAAAAAAAAAAATCTGATTCTAAACGGTCATTGTGAAACGTCGCACAAAATATACACGTGTGACGTTAGGGCTACATCGCGCGTACAGGTAACAAAGGAATGCTGTTACGTAACATAGTAGAAGAATGTGATTCAAAATCAGTGCATATAACCAATGTTATGGCGGTATTTTCTTGAGTGTCGGCATTTGCTGACGAGTTCATTTTTAGAGTTCAGCGTTTTTTTGTCTTTCCGCAGTAATGATGTAAAACTTTTCCGGCAGAGCTGGCACCGTTTGGTTAACGCGGCCACAAAAAGCTATATTCGGCTGAGTGGGCGACTGAGAGGAATTCAAATAAAGGAAATTAGTAAATTAGTAGCGTTGGCTTGAGTTGTTTTCTGCACAGTAGGCCTACAAATTGAGGTAACCAATAGTTTACCGTGCCTAGGGTTATTGTTAAATCAAAGTTCCCCACCACACAGCAAGCCATAGCTGATCAGGGAAGTAAAGCAATGTTGGCCGTAAAAACATCAGTAGAGACGTTAAACTGCATCTTTAAAAGGACGGTACCCTAATACACACTTTATGACTGGTTTCCCATACCTAGATCTATCCATCTGGATCGGTCTAGTTCCCTGGGGAGTCTCACTAAATTGCTATCAACTAGCCGGCTTTAATGTCTGTCACGCCTACCGAATCAGCTAGGGGGTAAAGATAATTATCCCCTAACAGCTATACTAGACGTGCCCGTTACGTTGATAGCAATTTAGTGAGACTCCGCAGGGAGATAGATCGATCCAAATATCTGTGGGAATGGTCCCTATAAAATTTAGTTTTTTGACGTGATGGTAATCCTAGGAATTGATGAGAAGTCACAGTAGCAACAATAGGAAATAATACATTGAATTTACGATTTTTTTCTGCTTATCTGTATAAAGAAAAGGGCATAAAAGATGAATATAGGCCTATATACGTGTTTATAGTTGTCTGACCTCAAAAGACTCGATTCTGAATATTGTTTATATACTTTGTAACTTACAATTACATGTACATTGAATTAGAAGCAGTAGGGCCTATAACCAACTGGATCAACGCAGGTCTTACTGTAAAAATATCACAAATCAAGACCTTCCTCCAGTTCCCAATTAACCAAAGGAGTAACGCAAACAGTGATGACAATAATCAAGATCTTGAATTATACTTGATATTGACTTTTATTGAAAATCAAATGAAGTTGATTTAAATGATAGCCGCATCGATCTTGTGTCGGGGGCTGCCGCTGAACATGATTAATATACCAGTTATAAATGAAATTTCCAGATACAACAATGAAGTATCTAAAGACTTAAAGCAAACGAACTTCTTTTAATTTTTACTTCACTTTATTAAGTATCTACTGCAGTTAACCAATTGAAGCAGGACTAGCTCCGCACGCCAGCCTATTCTTTCAGTTACGTTGCCAAGGACGCTGACGTGGTGACCGCCTTTTCACCAAATCTCACGCATGGATAGGAATAAATGCAACATTCTGACATTCTTTTTGTGTTGAATGTTGACAGCATAGGGGCTGTGTGCCCGATACATTCTAAGCTCACGGTCTCAGAGAGTAAAAACCTGAAGTTAGAAGCTCCAGTTGAAGCAGATAGTAAACCAGATCAGTGACACTAACCCAAAATAGTGTCAGGGTCTGAGGTAGGTTGCGAAGTCACACAGTTAGTAGGGAATTAAGATGCAAAGTCTAACTTATTGTTTCTATGCTGCTTAGGCTATTTGCGGTGTAAATGTTTCAATCAAGCAGAAACATAGTCACACATCTATCTTTTTGGTGAGTAACACTGGGTGACTGCCTATCTGTAGAAGTATCGCTTCCAAAAGCATCAATCTTTGGTGTCTTTTAAGATATTAAAATAGACATAAATATACGTAAATTAATTCATTTTTGTTCGTCTTTGCGGGAACCATATACATGGATCTCTCCTATAATTTTACTTGACCACTCGCTTGGTAAGGGCTATTTCGGAAACACATAAATTGGATAAATTTTATGGAAATTATGGGACTGTAAAATGTATAGTCGCTACACAAACAGGTCGTGTGCAAACAGTGTTACTTTAAATTTTACATTATTTTATATGTTCTTGCGCTCGCTCGCGCGCGCGCGTGTGTGTGTCTGTGTGTGTGTGTGTGTGTGTGGGGGGTAATTCGATTAAATAACTAGAGACACACACTGCCACAGGAATGACTGCAGGCGTCTAGTCTGGGGTCAAATTGTAAATTTCGAACGGGGATATTGGTATGTATTTTATGGGCAGGCTCACAAAAGGACGTGATGGAAGCCAGCTTGTTTGGTATGGACTTGATCACCAACGTTCTCTGTACTCTTCTCTTAATACCGCAGTAAATTCTTTTTTTAATACCGACATGTGTTATATTATCAAAGTTAATCTCGTCGTTCGTTCATCAACAGCGTGGTCATCAGATATATCCCTTTCCTGTCTCAAGAACTGACTATGATACATAAAAATGATAGTACGGGTGCGTGCCTTCTGTGTAACGCATATAAACTAATAGGGTTACTTAATGCACCTTTTTCCTACGTTACACTACTGAACTCCACATGTCAAATAAGCCATGCACAGGTTTCTTGCGCAACACTTATGAAGTTCACATGTCCAATAACTTCGATTAATCACCAAAAATGTTTTCACACTGTATCTTCTGGTAATTTCTTATTCTTCCAGTCTCTCTCTCTCTCTTGATTTACCACCTCAGGTTTTAATAAAAGATAAAATAGAAAAAATAAGACCAGTGAAACAAAAAGCAGAGATAACAAGATTACATCGTTTTACTATTAGAAAGACATGTGGCGGTCGATAAAGTTTTTTAATCGTCTACATTTCATCGTGTTAGTCTGTTACTTCTTTTAGTCTGCCCAATCGCTTAGTATCCTCCTCTGCGGCACGTCCATACCAATACTCACTGTCATAGCTCCAATAATGTATCTATAAAAATTAGATAGCATCAGTTGATTTCCTGTAAAGTATGCCTGCTTTCTTAAAAAGTACCCTCTTTGCCTAGCTTCCTTCAGCTATTTGTGTATGTTATTATGCCACGTCAATTGTTATTTATTTAATAACTCTTCGTATTAAAACTCTATATTTCACAATAAAAACATTGTAAACAACTCACAGAAGTATAATATATTCTATTTTTCCACAAAAACGGCAGTAAAAGCAATTATTCTTAAATCTGTGCTTGCCATTGTACCTTGTAACCTGCATAGATGGCTATACTAAAAAAAAAAAAACTTCTTAGAAAAAAAAACTACTAAAAAAAAAAAGACTTCTTAGAAAAAAAAAACTAGGTTCTAACTTTGAATGTAGAAATAGATTCATTAACCATTGCTTAATATGGGAAAATTGTTGTTTATTGTTTACCCAGAAAAATTCATTTTTGGCCAAAAGGAACAGTTGTTATCCCTTTAATCTAGCAGCGTAAATCGCCAAGCAGCGTAAATCGTCCACTTGCTTAAGGTTAGCCTACTGACAGGGTTTATTATCAGCAAAATATCGAAAATTTAATTATTCAATAATGCATCGAACATTTTGCTGATTAAAAACAATAAAAACATTAGAAATCCCCTACAAAATGAAGTATGTCGGCGTTCTAAGGATGAGTGCGAATCAGGGGGTAAAAGTGCCCATCTTTGTAGCCTACATGAAAAATAAATTGTGAATGAATGGAAAAAAATTGATGCCAAATTAAAGTTGGGGTCTTACACTTTTATGATCCACTTAAAAAAAATTTTATTGAATTTGAAATATAAAAAATTAATGTCAAAATGACCTTGTCAAATATTGATGAAAATGTGTGTTTTAGAGGGGGGGTCTGAATTGCAATGCTACATATCTTTAGTTATAGTAGGGTGACAACTGTGAAATTTTGTAATTGGGTACAGAAGGTGCCCATGTAAAAAAGTAAGGCAATATGTGGCCAATCATTTTTTGTGATCAATATTTTTATTGCTTTATTTGTACATGTAGTGCTGATTGAAAGAAGAATCTTACAGTGACTTGAGGATAAAAGATGTTCATTTTTTATATGAGCCCCTGCCTCAGACAAGCTAATTATTCACGGTTGAAAAGAAATGAATATAAGGTGAGATATATGTGAAAATCAGCTTGTCTGAGGGTTGGGCTCGATATGTACTCAAACTAAATAGGGACATTTTCAGTCCATATGCTAGCAGGCGGCCATGTTTATTCCTGCCATGAGGTAGCTGCTCCATGCTTACGTAGGATGGCTAGGCAGATACAATGAAACTTTTGAACAAAAAGAACAACCCAAAATAAAATGTAGGTCTTTGAAAGGAAAATAGGGGTTAGAGTCAGTAAAATTTTTTCAATTACAACCAAAAAAAAGAAAAGTAATTTTCATGTAATGCATGCTAGCTATCAAAAAAATAGAAATAGAGTCCAAATACAGTAAGTATATCTTACTTTCATTCTAATTTCTTAGGATTAAGAAAGATTAAATGTAAAATGTGCTTCAGATATTCAAATTTATATTAATTATCATAATAGCAGATGTACATTATGGTGGCTCCTACTTTATATAGAGACCCATGCTGTAATAGACCTCTACACATAAGGGTGGCTTGACCCAACCCCCCTCTAATGGGCATGAAAGTACATTTTGTACAACCAAAATTGTTGTGTAAATGTCCCCTTTTATGTCTATTTTGCATAAAAAGTAAAATAAAATGCTCCATCACACACACCCTAGTTTTGTTACTTATGACCTTATCTTCCACACCAGCACTATTCATAGTAGCTTTGAGAGTTTTTTTTCTTCTTTTTTTTTTCACCAAAATGCTGTGAATGACTTTATTTTTCAAGGAAATCAGTGAAAACCTATTGACTTGGTAAATAGTCCATACAAGAGACCACCAGCCTATAATAAATACCAGAAGTTTACCAGATAAAGCAAGCTAGCCAATATACTGATGAGCATCTGCTAGATGGCCAGTTTGAAATCAGTGTATGCAAGGATGCACCTGATTTAATCAGAGCCAAAATNCTAGGTGGCTTTCAAATTTATGCGCCCGGTTTTAAAATCATATAGCGATTTACGACAATCGTTTACTATCCAATCAAAGTGACAGCCGAGCATGCCAGGGCTCATCCTGTCGGTGTTCTGGCTGATACTCCGAAATGCGATCTGACACACACCTTGAAAACGGGTAGTGTGGTCCGATATACCGGTTAATTCAGGATCCTTAGGTGCCGAGTCTGGTAGTTGGGTAGGCCTGATCATAATAGCAGATGTACATTATGGTGGCTCCTACTTTATATAGAGACCCATGCTGTAATAGACCTCTACACATAAGGGTAGCTTGACCCAACCCCTCTAATGGGCATGAAAGTACATTTTGTACAACCAAAATTGTTGTGTAAATGTCCCCTTTTATGTCTATTTTGCATAAAAAGTAAAATAAAAGGCTCCATCACACACACCCTAGTTTTGTTACTTATGACCTAATCTTCCACACCAGCACTATTCATAGTAGCTTTGAGAGTTTTTTTCTTCCTTTTTTTCACCAAAATGCTATGAATGACTTTATTTGTCAAGGAAATCAGTGAAAACCTATTGGCTTGGTAAATAGTCCATACAAGAGACCACCAGCCTTTAATAAATACCAGAAGTTTACTAGATAAAGCAAGCTAGCCAATATACTGATGAGCATCTGCTAGATGGCCAGTTTGAAATCAGTGTATGCAAGGATGCACCTGATTTAATCAGAGCCAAAATGGTTAATTAAGCCACACTTCTAGCCACCAGTACACATTATGGATTCAGACCTCCCATAGCAAAACTAGACCCATCAGTCGCTGGTACTGACAGTGTAAAGCTGGTTCCAAGACAGTTGGAAGTTGTGCACATATCACTTCAGTCCTGTGGTATATGGGGTTTGCCATGAGGCAGGGATACAACTGAAAATTATGTTGTGGAGAAGGCTGTTTGGATACCTCACATTTACCAACATCAAGTGGTGACAGTATTAGCGAGACAAAAAGTGTTTTGGACAGCACATCTGATTAATTATCCATTGTTTCATTATACATTTTTTATACTCATATTTGTATACTGTATTTTGTATAAAATAACTCTTGCATTGCATTCTATACAAGGTCTTTATCACATACATAATCATATATGAAGTACTTTTTAGGTGATTTAATTTCATTGTCATACAGATTATTGGCCATAACTGTTATTATGTGTACTATATTTTCATTTAGTTTTTAGTTATACCTTATCATTATTTTGGTACAATTTATACCTTGTTTATTTTATGGTTTAGGGAAACATTCCAAATAGCTGTTTAGAGTGCTTTTACGCATGATTTTTTTTGTTGTTGTTACGTACTGTAACAGCCTTTTGCTTTTAGCATTTTTTACTATTCCTTAGAGCCTTGTACAAAATGTGTATTGGTTAAAAATACAATTATTTAGACCAACAAATGCGGGTCTGTGAGAAAAGTTATATAAAATTAATAAATACGCTGAAACAAGTTTTTCTAGTAACAAGACTTTTATACAGTTAAGTGAAATCAGTGATGGCTTCTGTGAGAAAATACCGTAATATACCACCCCTACCTCTCTTCTCTAGGATTAAAAAAAAACAACAATTACTTTCCCATTTACTTGTGCCACACCACAATTATTTAACATATAACTCTTTTTTACATCACAAGACAAGTTTCATTAGAAAAAATCGTTAATGCAATATAAATGCTGAAACAAGTTGCTCTGATTCATTAGACTGCATACAACAGGTAAATCCGGCTACCCCCCCCCCCCCCACNAATGGTTTTTCGCACTCATCCTTTCCTGTTTCAAAGAGTAAGCAACTCGGAGCGTTTATCGTCAATTTAACAGCTTTCTTTTTTGAGTTGAGATAGCAATCAGTATTGGGCGTAAATTCATATCCGAACAAGTCCTTATCAGGAAAATTGGCATGGGTGACACCAAATATTTGGTCTTCAATCACGTGCCGTCATTTAGTTTTAACACCCTAACCCAATAGGGCCTTTAAAAGTGCATTTCACATGCTCAAAGTATTTAAAAAAAAGGCTGAGTTCCCATGCCTAGATCGATCCATCTGGATCGGTTTAACTCCCTGAGGAGCCTCACTAAATTGCTATCAACTTAACCGGCTTAAATGTCTGTCACGCTTACCGAATCAGCCAAGGGCTAGAGATAATTACCCCATAACAGCTATACTACGCGTGACAGACATTTAATTTAATGAGACTCTCCGGGGAGATAGATCAATCCAAATATCTGTGGGAATGGTCCCTAAAATTGAATGAATTCGAAGTTGCACACTATGCAAGGAGCTAAAATTGTATGTTCCAGCCATATAATTTTAAAATTTATATCGCGTTCTGATATATTTTGTAATGATTCATTCATGGTAAATTATATATGTCGTAAAGATGTTTTTATAATTATTTAAACTGGGATTCAAGGGGCTTTGCGTCATGGAAAATACTACGCAACGTATGTTCCCCAGAAAAATTGCCAAAGGTTTAATCTTGACTAAGTACTTGGTGCAATATGTGACAGGGTTTTCTGTAACTGACTGAAAAATATGTGATTCCATGAAAATTTGATATTTCTGATACAATATTTAGACCACGAATTGCAAATAATTTATTTAATGCCTATTTTACTGTCAGTATGGTGTATTTCCCTCCTTTTTTTAACATTCAGTAACAAGCAAGCTAAAGTCGCCCAAAAATATTAACTGCTCTATGCAGAAGATTATCATACTTTTTACAACGTTATACTTGTAGGAGATACAGTAGGACATATACTGCGTAGGGATTTTACAGTTTTTACCCAAAAATCGCAATTATGACATCATCGGTGAAATGACATTTGTATAAATGCAACCGAATTCAGTCAGTGAACACTTAATTCCAAAACATATACGTAAAGACAGTCATTTAGTAGTTTTGTCTAACCTTGACAATGTCATGAACTACGGTATTACCGATGTATACAGGCTTCTTCTCATCCTTGTCCTTTCTTAAATATATAACCATTTCTTTCGTTTTTCCCATCATTCAGTACAAGGTTATTCGTAACAGTTTGAGCACTAATTCAATATCACGCTTATATATGGTCTCGTCGTTATATCTATATCAGCCCTTCTGTTGTATCATCATCAGCAAACTTTAAAATTTAGATGCTTCCCTGGTTAATCACGCAATCATAAACAAACAGGGTATATATGTAAATGTACAACTGAGGCGCACCTATATTTAAAACCAATGTACCAGAAACACTTGAACAGGAAGGGACTTATATTAAGATAAAAACCCTTTGTTTTGCCTGTACATTATTTAAGTATTTGCAGCTATAGGGGCCTTTATGTATCCGATGTATGGTGGCATTGGCAATAATATGACAAAGCTGCTCACAAAATATGCATCTTAAACCTCTTCGGCGTAATAAGTTGTTACCTTTGGCTTCACTTTCATAGACATCAATAATCGCCATTCCCATAACCCTTTAAAAGCCCTAGGCGTAATTAATGCATCATGGATCGTACTCGTAGCTCAAGTTTACAGTATAAATCAGAGGAGGTCGTGCATGTGACAAACTGAAAACCTTCAAAGAAAAACTTAAGGACAACGGCGTTTAATCTCTTTTATAATTACGTTTGCTACGTATATAACACGCACATATATAGCTCCAAAGTTTACGCGTTGTTTGCATCTTTATCTTACTCTAAAATTTATCAAATATTGCCTCCTCTTCTCAGGACTATGGCTACTGAAGTGGATGTACCGGTCCTCCCAGGTAATTGGATGGCTCACCAGATACGGGGTCTTCAAGAGGACACCAGGGGAATGTTAGACCACATCCCCAAGACCCCAGGGAGTGAGGCAAGTGACTACGGACCTTACATGAGTTTGTTTGAAATCACCTACGGTCCACGGACGGAGATATTGGACAGGGAAAATCAACAGAAGAGATTCCGTGTAAAGAAAAAACAAGTTAGGCCGTCCACAAGGAAACACAACTTCCCACATCCTTCTAAGGTATGTAGGTGATTGGGATATATTTTTACATCGTATTTTCTACTATCTACCCTTATATCTTCAGAATAAAAAAGTAAAACCGTTGGGGAAAAATACACTATCGTAAGAAATGTGCATGGGCACTTCGGAATTTTATTGACATGGGGTGTGGTTGTCTCTGGGGGAGGCTGATTATAATTTTACAGCCTATTTTCTGCTATCTACCCACTGTATCAGCCATTTGAGTTAAAAACATGAAACATAGCTACAGTATTATTTGGGATGTGGAAGGACACTTCGGATTTTTTTTTTTGACTTGGGGTGTGGTCCTTGGGGCGGTTGAATATAATTTGACATTGTAATTTCTGCTACATGTATCTACCTTTAGAATATATATATGTGTGTGTGTGTGTGTGTGTGTGTGTGTGAGTGTGTGTGTGTTAGGAACGTAACGCTGTGGGGATTGTTGAAAAACCTGCCTTTGGGCATGTGTATGGGTCCTTCTGGGTTTTTGGTGACATTAATTGGGTGTGGCCGTCCCTGGGTGTGGTTGATTTTCTTTCTACAACGTAATGTCTGCCATCTACCCTTTGGTAACCTTTGGGAGTTATTTACTTATCATGAACGACGTGCATGGGCACTTCGGAATGTTTTTCTAATTTAGGGTGTGTTCGTCTCTGGAGTGGTTGATTTATATTTTGTATCGTTATTACTGCTACCTACCCTTACGTCATAAGAATAAGGAACAAGAAACCTTCCGCATTGATAAGCTTGCCATTGAGGATATTCATGGGCCCTTCGGGAATGTTAGTATGATTTGGGGTATGGCTGTCCCAGGGGGTGGTTGATTCTATTTTTCACATCGTTATTTCTACTATCTATCCTTAGAGTTAGGAACATGAAACGTTGGGGATTGATAAACCAGTCACTTTTTATGAATATGCAGCTTAATTGTCTGACACGCCACCAATCATCCCACTCCCTCGGGGACAGTCACACCCGAGGTCCCACTGAAATTCCCCTGTAGCCATATGCACCAAAGACTCGTGTTCCTAACTCAAATGGTCTAGGAAGAGATGAAAGAAATTACGGTGAAAATATTACCGTCAACCATCCCCAGGGACGGCCACCCCCAAGTCATCAAAAATTCTGAAGTACCCACAGGCATTTCTTACGATAGTGTATTAATCCCCATCGCTTTTATTCCCTAATTATCAAGATTCAAGGGTAGATAACAGAAAATACAATGTGCCCAAACACATCTCTAACGATCTCAGCCATCACCAGGGACAACCACACCCCAAGTCATAAAAAATTCTGAAGTACCCACAGACATTTCTTACGAAAGTGTATTAATCCCCATCGCTTTTATTCCGTAATTCTCAAGATACAAGGGTAGATAACAGAAAATACAATGTAAAAATTACGATCAACCACCCCTAGGGACGTCCACACCCCCAAATTACAAAAAAGAAGTACCCTTGCACTGGCCTAACAATATATTTATTAATCCCTGACATTACAACTTCATAGTATAGGAAATTACAATGAGAATTAAATCATATATTTTCGTCCGCCCTAGGGGCAGCCTGACCAGTTTCAGCGTACCCGTCCCTACTCCAATTCTACCTGTTTCGTACTTCAAACTGTTTCGGGGACTTAAAAAAAATCCTGGTTGCAAAATGCGTTGCAGTTGCAAAATGCGATATCACGATTTTCTTTGGTTGCAAAATGCGTTGCAGTTGCAAAATGCGGCTCTACTTAGTAGGGCCGCATTTTGCAATTGGTTGCAAAATGTGCTCGATTGAAAATGCGGCTCTGCACCTCTGTAGCGCCGCATTTTGCAACTGTATTTTTTGCCCTTATATCTTTAAAGTTAGGGAATTAAAGCGTTGGATTAATAAGCTATCGTAAGGATTGTGCATGGGCACTTCGTATTTTTTTTGACTTGTGGTGTGATTGTCCCTGGGGGGTGTGGGGTGGTTATACCTGTAGATTGAGGAAGCTGAATCAGTGGGAATTAATAAACCTATATGCAAAGGCTCTTCGGAAATTAAGCGTGACTTTGCAGTCCTTGGGGTGGTTGAATATATTTTATATCGTTGTTACTGTTATCTACCCTTATCCAATACAGTGAGGAACATGAGACATAAGGGCTATTTAAACTTTTCATTAGGAATGTGCATGTGTCCTTCGCATTTTTTGTAACTATGGGTTTGTCCGTCCCTTGGGTTGGTTGGTTCTAATCTTGGTTGTTGTAATCTTTGCATCGTAGTTTCCGCTATCTACCCTGGACCTAATATTGAGGAGGTTTAAACGTCGAGGATTAATTAACGCATCGTTAGAGATGTGTGGGGGCACATTGGAATTTTTGGTGACTTGTTGTGTGGCAGTTCCTAGGGATAGTTGACTGTAATATTTTTACCGTAAATTCTTTCATCCAACTCCTCTTGAACCATTCGAGTTAGGAACATGAATATTTGGTGCATGGGTATTTTACTGTGACTTTGGATGTGACCGTCCCTGGAGGGAGGAGGGTGATTGGTGGCGTGTCAGACAATAAAACTGATTCTGCTGATTGCACTTATAAAAGTGAGATTCCCTGCATAGTTTGACCAACCAAGTTTAATAACAGATTTTCGGCCATACGGTTGAATTTATGTCAAGTTATATAAAGAAAAAAAAAATCAAGACCCCATTCTATCGGGGATCCTAGGGTCCAAGTCCTCTTGTTCCCTTTTATTAAAAACACATGTTAATAACAGTTCTTGGGTAAAAAAAATTGTTTGGTATTAAGTCACAACATCTGTCGATTTCTGAGTGTGTAGGGTTTTGTACATGCATAAAAATATGACTGGTTTATCAATCCCCAACGTTACATGTCCTGAAATCTAAAGGTAGATAGGTTTTAGGTTTTAAACTCTAATGGTCAAAGGGTAGATAGCAGAAATCACGCTGTTAAAAAAAAATCGACCACCCCCAGGGACGACCACACCCAATGTCACATATTTTCTTTTTTTATAACCGATCTTTCTGATATTTTTACGCAGCACTTTTATTGTTAATAAAGATTCTCACAAGTGGGAACTGACTGCTGGCATTTAAAGGTTACTCTGTTAGCCAATACCGGGCTAAAATACGTCTAAGCCTGTTTGGAACCAACAGCTAGTTGCGCCAGGTAGGCCTACGTGTGATCAAGTTATGGTTTGCCTCCAGCCAACCAAATTCTCGGTTTTCTATTTCTCAGTGCAAAAGTTTTGAATAAACATCACAAATTAAATTCTTTTCAACTCAGTAAAAGCTTTCATAGTATGATACTAACATGCTTACAAATTTTCTCATTTATAAAAGGTTGATAGAACTAAGCGCTTTAGATTAAACGGGGCACGTAAGGAGGTTACAATTAATGTGCTGTTGGGGAATTCAAGGAGACAATGCAGTTCTTTCTTTGACAGATGTCCTGTATAATTTAAAGACATATATGTGTACCTTGGTCTCATTACCATAATAATAATAATAATAATAATAATAATAATAATAATAATAATAATATCACTAAAAATAATAAAAATTGACCATGTCTTCAAAAATCGATTATCCTTACGTTCCACCAATGACGTGCATTCTCCCCTAGATACGCTGCATAAGATGGAGCAGAAAATGTACACAATAGCCTGTTGAACTGGCAGGAATTTAATGGAAGTTTCGTACTTGCACCAAACTTTCTTGTCAATTTACTGATGCACAAACTAAGGTAGGTGTGGTGTATAAAGCTCAGCAACGAGCAGGCGATATTTTGGAGCGCAATGAGTGTAATACTGTTACATGTCGCAGGCGAAGCTTGCAGACAAGGCTCTTTCAAGACTCCCTTAAAACGAGCATTAGGTCCTAGTACGAAAGAGGGTAACGTTAACGACCCCCCCCCCCCCCCCGGCTCTCGACATGGTCAATTTGACCGTCGATCAAGGGTATCAGTGGCTGCGTTCACAATTAATTTATCGTATCAGCAAGTTCGCATTTACTCCTCGGCGACTTTCGCTAAATGCAATCAGATTAGTTAACACGCCTCCTTTTGACTCCGACGTAGTATGATCACCAGCTTTCAGTATTCAACTTCCAAGATAGTTTGTCGCTGGTGGACTGACATTGAGCCACTGAGTCCAATTTCTTTTTCTGTAAGTTATAGTCTGTAGGTTTTTTTTTTTTTTTCACGTATTGGCATTTTCATGGTGTGAACTTCCACGGACTTGAATTTCTTTGCAGGTCTATGGCGCTCTGTTAGTATCATATTAACTTTTTTCTATTTTCATTTAAGTTTTATTTTATGGAATTTTCACCGCGGTAAAAAAAATTTACACCGTGGTGGAAAATAATTTACACCTCTGTGGGAATTTATTTTCACCGCGGTGAAAAATAATTTTCACCGCGGTGGTAATTCCTGGTCATCTCAGCCCGGGTGATGAATAGGTAATGAGAACCTTACATTTGCCAGATGCCGTTACGGTGCATGCTATTGTTACATACACACAAGGTTGGTGGATCTGTTCGTGGGGCCACTGCTGTATTTACCACCTACATAATTTAAGTCTTAAATGCTAAACCGCTTGCAGATTTATGCAAAGGGAATCCCATTGTTATTACTAATAACTTACGGTTATTTTTGGACAATCTACTTTTAAATATTTGTGTTATGTGTTTGTCCAAGAGATGTATTCTGCTTCTAAAATACGTCATAAATATCTAGTTCTCGCTACAGGTATCAGACAGGTTTCTTTCTACCAATATCCCCAATAATACGCAAGTTATTATAAAGCGAAAAGCGACATACTACAATGCAGCATTTCAGTGATTTTTAATCTATTCGAATACAACCCGCTTCCTCCACATTCCTGGCATAATTGGCACATAGACATGTTAAACCGCATGCATGTGCATGTGCTTGTCTTTATCAACTTACTTCCTTCCCAGACATCTGGTAAATGATGGATTCCTATTACCAACATGTATGCATTACCCGGGCCGAGATGGCCAGGAATTATTACTATTAGGCACGTGACCTTTAACAAGCACATCCTAATGCTAATTGTGTGTAAATTTGGTGACATTTGATGACGTCTTTTCAATTTAATAGGCCTTTCTTTACATCTGTAGAAATCACAGTGAAACATTGGATTTGAGGGGGTACCTCTTATAAATTTGACTTAATGTTATTAAATGTGTATATTTTCACCACTATTTTGTATTTTTTGAACCATTAATCATGTTAGACATGGTATCTGGAATAAAAAGCACTAGTTATAACAATTTATACCTGTGAGCTGATCATTTGTAAATAAAAGTACATGGAAATGGGGGTGGGACAACCTTTTTGACCAATGTTGTATATACATCCTTTATTTTATGTTAATATTTTAGTTTGTAAATTTGTACATTTTATTCCAATCCATTTTATGTACGATTTCTACCTTTTGGTTGCCATATTTTGAAAATGTTATTATTATTATTATTATTATTATTATTATTATTATTATTATTATATGGCCACCTCTATTTTAATACGCTCTGGGGCATTCTGAGCACCAAAGTAAAATAAAATTGCTCACAGGGAGCAAAAAATTTTGCAAAAGTTGTAAATTTTTTAAACTTTCAATTTACTTTTAATTTTTATTCATTTTTGAATCTAGTAATTTTTAGATTTAATTACAAATTAAACAAGAAAATGCAAGTTGTACTGGCAGCATATTTATTCTATCTAAATCTAACTTTGTTTTACACTGCATTATAATTGCATAAATGATTGCCATATTTTTTAGTCTATTTTATCAGTAGATATCTGATAATATAACTATCTTTTCATATAAATAAATAAAACAATGTTAACATATGCTTAAATATGCAACAAAAAAAAAAAAAAAAAGAAACAATATAAAGCAAAAAGAAAGTCGCACATCACACCAGGGCTTGAACCCAGGACCTCCCACTCTAATGCCTGAGCTATGCAGACTATTCAATTAAGATAGGGCACTAAAATATATACGTGCCTAGTGCACAGCGACTAAAGCTTCCTTTTGCACACCACATGCATTTGTTGACCTGGGAATAAGCATAATGTCTCCTTTTCACGTTGCACTTTAACACTAATAACTGCAAATTGAACGTCCCAATGACCTAAACAAAGCAACTGTCTGTCATATGATGCATACATTTACCCCCTTGTAACACCTACCTCGTCTCAAAAAAACGGTTTTCACGTCAAAAACGTCGAATTTGTATGTTTCATCGAAGAGGTAATGGCTGCCGTTCAACGGCCTCTTCCGTTTTAACCATGCATGTTAGGGGCACACAAGGCATATGACATGGGCCAGCCTACCTGCATAACCATATTCTGCCTGCCTGGGCCGAATCTCTCCAAACAACCAATAGACTTGCAAATTCTTTGCAAGTAATAAGTGCAAATATCCCATTGCTCTAAGTGCCAGGTGTGGGATAAGTCAGTTACAACTCCTACTTGTCCACTGCATGCAACTGCCCATCAGCTGCCGGGCCCTCAATATAATTATGATCATGTATATCACAAGTACATATCAAAAAGCATACAATGTCAAATTACTTTAATATGTATCCTTTAACTTCATGTTTGTCATGTTCTAGATGTTTATGAAGTGGAAAGTTCCAACACGCTTAGTAGACCAGTATACTGCTGCTGCCCAAGGGAAAGCCTCGCAACCTCAGTGTGAGTAACAATCTGTTTGTGTGTGAGCATATATGCTGTTCACTGTGTCTGTCTGTGGCGACGCCAGTGCTGTTGCGCATTCCATTGTCTTTGGAAGCATGTGTTGTTTCCCCATTATGTATTTTGGAAAGGGTCACCTGATAACTGCCATCCCATATTTTTGTTTTTGTTCAGGGCTCCATAACTTGAAAGCATTGCAAATTGTGACTAAGAGTGCATTCCCAGAGATTTAGATCAATCCAGAGATTTAAATTTAAATCGACCTAACTCCCTGGGGGTTCACGCTAAATTGCAGTCAGCCGAGCGCGCACCATAGTTTTAACTAGTTTTAATTAAAATTACCCCCTTACAGCTTTTAGTAGGCGGGACAGACATTTAAGGCTGTTAAGCTGACTCCAATCTAGTGAGACTCCCCAGAGGGATAGAATAGAATCGATCTAAATATCTGTGGGAATGGGGTCTAAGTGCAATCATGGCAATTTGTCGCTATTCCATAGCTTGAAGGCATTGCAATTTGTGACCGAGTGCTAATAGCGATATCACCGTTAGTTTCGAGGCTATTATTTGTGACAAGTGAATCCTGTTGTAATTGCCTTTGAACGTGCATAATTTGTCATTTTATGTCTTTCATATAATTAAATAGGCGGCAATTTTTGGTGGCTTGTCATAATAGCATATAACAAAACATGGAAGCTTGGCACTGATAGAAAAAACTTGCAGGAATTTTTACTTGAAGAATGTTTCATCAAAGACCAAAAAATTACAGAACATTTATAAAGTCATGTTTTATCATGCATAAAAATTATGCAAAAAATTTGAAAATTAAACATTTAATGTATTATTTAATATTTACTGATGAAAATACATCTGCGTAGTCTATTCATACATGTTATAATCATAAATTTAAACGTTTCATTTTCTACACAATGAAAAAGCAGTGTGTGTTATTATGATACTGAGCACTACTCACCAATGTGTCAGTAATTTGTATCAGTCCATAATAATATGTGTGCTTTGCTTATTGAATTGTTTTTGACATTTTATTGGTGTCAAACACATCAAATATCAGTATTTTTAATTGTGATCTTGATTATCATTCTTATCAAATAAAATTATTAAGAGATTATTACAAAAACCCAAACCTTTTAGAAAAAAAAAACAAAAAAAAACAGGGACTAATTTTTAATTTGGGAATGGATTCATTTACCATTGGTAAGTATAAGAAAAATTTCCTTTACCCCAGGAAAATTCATTTTTTGGCCAAAATGAACAGTTGTTATCCCTGTATGTTGAATTATGAATTTCTTTTGAGAAGTCAGACATTAGTTCTTTGGTTTTGCTTGCAATTATTTTAAATTTGTTATAACTAGATAATTATATTGTATTCACATATGCATAATAAAATAGTTATTATAATATATAGAATCCCAAAAATATGTTAGCAATATGAAAAAGTAAGAAAAATACTTTGATTAATATCTTGAATGAATGTTAAAAATATATATTAATAATTAATTTACATATCACCCAACTCGTGGTATATTTTGGGGACTTTGGGACTTGGTTGGACTCCCTGTAAATCTGTGACCAAATGACAGATTAACATTGTGACTCCCTTTCCCCCAAATCCTAAGGAAATGCTGCTCAATGGTAAAAAAATCCAAAACTAACAGAGAAATATATTCACCCATACGTACTATTGAACTTGAATATAGGAAGTCATGTTTAAGGCATAACTTAATGTGATCTTGAATTTGACCTGTGAGCTTCTTTTTGCCTTGAAATGCACTTTGCAAATATCTTGTCTGCAAAACTTCTAGCTCTTATATCTCTAGAACTGGCAGATATACACAAGTACTTACAGAACTTGTGAACTTGAATAGGAAATCATATATTAGGCATCTTAATGTGACCTTGATTTTGACCTTTGGCCTACTTTTTGCATAAAATGCACTTTCCAAACTTCCCATCTCCAAAATCTCCCCAACTAAAACAGATATATCCATAGCTACCATCAAACTTGCATGCATTAAATCTTGCTTGTGGTATAATATCTGGCAGCCATACTCCTCTCTGATCCTCTAATTAGATTGAATATTTTCATGTTACACATTGTTACTTACATTGCTCTCACATGAAAACCACATAGGTAATGGTATGGATTCCCACATTGGTAATGGTATGGATCCTGTACATAATAAAACATCATCTTTTTGTTTCTAGGTAATGATCCAACCAAGGAAGAGGTAATGGAACAGTTGGTTCAGCTGCAGATAGACCCAGCCAAGCATCATGAGGTGCCCAGAACAGATAATCCAACACACAACACACAACGCAGTCCTTCCATGCATGCCATGCACAACAGGACCAGGAAGTATGGAGATGCTTGTGAGTATAAACAAATTATCACTGCCTATTTACAATAATATTATCTATGAATCCCAGTAGAAAAAGTACCATCAGAATTTGTTTAGACATGTCTAATAAAGTTCGATAGGAAATGAAGGAAAATAGTCGGACATTGACCCCGCATAACCAGAAAAGTGAACATTGGAGTAAATGGGCACAGATACCAGGAAATACTCTAAAAGTTGCAATAAAAACTATTGTTTAAAACAAGTTATATAAATGTATCCCAGTATTTTCCATAGTAAGGTCTGAGAAATTTCCACCCAGCGGGCAAAATATGTTGTTTTAACATTGAAACAATGTTGAACCATGACGTTGATAAGACGTTGGATAAACATTGGATTTGAAAGCTGACTCAATCTCAGATAACAACGCTGTATCAATGTCAGATAACAACATTGTATCAACCCCAGTTGTTAGACAACATTCTTGCATGAAAAGATATTGAAATGACCTGAGGGTAGGGTATAAAAGTATGGCTTTTAAGTTAAAATTTCCAAGGTTTAGATTAATATATATATATATATATATATATATGTAACAAAGTCACAGTCACCTCAACCTGCCTATGTATAACAGGTTACCAAGAACTGTTAACTTTATTAATTCACTCCATCACATTTACAGGAATTATTCATCCTAGTGTTAGCAAACCTTGCAAGGAATTCAGTTTATTGGAATGTATTTCTGAATAACAAGTTAAGAAAATTCACTAGTTCACTAAAGACACAAAACAACTGTCACTTTTACTTTTAACACTTATTTTGATTATTTTGATAAAGTTAGTTACAGTATTGATAAACAAAGTATCACGTTTTCAACAATTAATATTTTAAAATATAATCCATGTCTGCAAGGTTTTGTCAATGACCAAAATACAACGTTGAGTCAACGTCACATTATGACAGTGTTTCGACGTGGCTGGATCAACGTTGATTTTACGTTGAATTTAGGTAGATCAACGGCAATTCAGTGTATCAACCTGTTTTCAACGTTGATCCAATGCAACTGTGCCTGCTGGGCAGTATTTCCTACAGTACTTAATCTGATCATTCCCTGCTATTTTTTCACTATTTACAGTCTTCACTTGTTTCAAAGCTTTCAAATGATGTGGGTGAGCACTTTGATTGGGTGTAAGTAAGCTCAGCACCTGTTCTATGAATTATTAGTGCCATCAGCATGAGTTTTAGACTGCATTCCCAGAGATTTAGATCGATCCATCTGGATCGACCTAACTCCCTGGGGGTTCACGCTAAATTGCAGTCAGCCAAGCGCGCACCATAGTTAATTACCCCCTTACAGCTTTTAGTAGGCGGGACAGACATTTAAGCCTGTTAAGCTGACACCAATCTAATGAGACTCCCTAGGAAAATAGATCGATCTAAATATCTATGGGAATGGGGTCTTTAAGGGTATACACATAGTTTTAGTCTCAACTCGTCCTGTCTGCTGGCTCTGTTGGCTCCCGTCACAAAAAAGTCACTGTTACCACTCCTCCTCACAAAGGGTAGGGAATCCTTTTTGCGTTCCGCATAATTGGCCTTATTTTTCAAGTGTGATGCATTATTTAAGCCCAATATTCTACGTGAAACGCGATTCAGGAATTCTTGGTGATTGGTGATTGATGTGAATATATCTTTGTTATTGGTGATTGAGTTGTTTTAATTCTTGGTGATTGGTTATTAAGGGGGATATTGCCTACCCTCCTCACAGACTACAAGGGCCTATGTCTCATCTCTTGGAATTAGGTCACATATAATTTCAACTTAGTGCATAGGTGTGATGCTTATGGCAATGCACCCTTGTCAAAATTTTCTAAAATGTAAAAATGCTTATTATTTCCCAAACTGAAGGATATTTAAGGAAAATCACTGTCATACGCTGATGGAAAATCATTTGTGGAAATTTTAAATATGACCTTTTATTGACCTTTAATTTATGTTTCAAGGTTAAAATTTTGTAAAACTTTCAAATTTATTTGAGAAAATACTTTGTGCAATTTTCAGAAACTGTTTAGACTTTTATATTATTGTGAGAAGTTACACTTGGGTCTGCTTTCATCTTTATGTGTTTGGGGTCAGTCAGTCCATTTTTACAGGGGAAACAGTCAGTAAATGCAGAAACGGAAAACTCTAGCTTTTTAATTCTGGAACTGTGAAACCCAGAGACCTCTTGTTTGTTGCATTCTATAGAGCTTATCTAGTATAGCACTGGATGTGGTGTCAGTTTTTGCTTTCCATATGGTTTAGCAGAGATACACCCATAACTACTATTGAATTTGAGTAGGAAATTATATACAGAGCTCTAAAAGAGAAAGTCCATGGACTTGCCTATAGGTCCTGCAAGACCAGATATTGTACTTTTTCCCCATCTGCCCCCTTTCTTGACAATAGAAAGGGGAGAAACGATAACAATGGAACCATAGCTGGAATCAAATCTTGGAGCATTACACAATTTGGCACATGCCTTACACATTCATCACTTTAAATACTAGGCATAATAGAGGTTGTCCGGGTTCTCAAGGAGAAGACCACATTTCTCCGTGATTTTACGAGATCTGCCTTGAGGTGGGGTTAAAATATGGAGACCACAAGGAAGTAGAGCAGCGATTTCTTTACTTGAAAAATAGCTGAACTTACAAAAATTTTGAGCTACAGGCTTGTTCTTTTTTCACTTTATAAAGAAAAAGTATTGATATAATATGTACGTACAACTGACATGTTGAATTTGCCAAGCTAAGAGCCGGTGACACTTGCAAAGCAAAATTCGCCCGGAGGACGTACTACGCAGCAAAGGTCGCGTTTAAACAGGCTTCATCACCAGAGATTTGCTTGTGGCACAGGAAAATGACATTAGTTATACGCATGCCTTTTAGATGAAAGTGGCTAGGATTGAATGAGAATCGGACGGATGATGCCCCGGCAGCTTCCAATTATTGTTTTATTATTTATTTGTAAATAAAATAATCCAGTGCTGTCAAGGGCTTAATTGCTTCAATTTTAGGTTATCATAATTACTATATTTAAATTGTTAACTCCAGCGTATTGCAATATGAAATTTCCTACTTCTGTTTTTTTTTTTTTTTTTTTTTTTGCAAATATTCTTCAATCGGTGTTGGCTACAAACTTCCTTTTTCACTATTTCCCTGATGTAGATGTCAAGAGCTTTATATAGTTATCCACTCTTTTTCATTTTTAAAATTGTCAATTTATATTACTGTCTTTGGGGGAGATTAACAGTCTTGAGAAAGCCGTGACTAGTCAAAACAAGGAGTTGAATAGGTTTGTATTTAATGTTTGTGTCACATTCCTCACCTCTTGATAATTGAGTGGAGTAATCATTACAATAAACAATCAAAAGGAAATTAGTTTAGAAGGCTCTCTCAGGATCAACCCTTTGCTTATTAGAAGCAAAATAATTCATTTTCCTCCTTTTGTTAAACCTTGAATTAGGCTTCAGATTTTTGTATAGAAGTGTGAATTAAAGGTCTATAGGCAGTGATATTGAGATGCTGTTGAGATTTATGAACATAGACAAGTACTGGTACATGTCCTTCACCTACATGAACATGCAAATGTGCTACTTTTCCTCCCGTTGTCTACTATATTTTTTAGGTGGATCACATGTGTTTAAGTGCATGACCTTGTAGTTTGTATTTCTGTTTGTGATAGCAGTTATTCGGTCAAAGTAACACAAAATATGGCACATATCTATCTCAGTACATGTGGAAGTCAAGTTGTCTAAAAACTGATCACTTATATAGACAAGGTTTTGGGATTGAAATAAGTACTACTACGTACTGTTTATTCAAGACAATTACATGATGTACATCCAATTTTTGTTAAACAACTTATTGGGTGATTTACATACATCTGTCATGTTTCAATTTTTCTTGAATTCACCTGCCAATAAAAATTAATTTGTAAAAACTTGGATACATGACCTCATAGTTATATTAATTTCATACCATACTACAGTACTCTTCATTGTCGTTATTTGTTACACCGGACTTTTGGAAACCTAAAGTACAAGGCGCAATTCTACAAAAGGCAGTTTCTTGTGGAGTTGTTGTCTTAAATCTACTTTTACAGCTGGATATGAATGCATGAAATGGGTTTTTACATAGATTTACTTAAAGGACAATATATAGACACATAAAAATCCATTTCTCAAATTTTGAAGATTCAGCACTCGATCTATACACTAGAGGTATGTTTTAATCGATCCCCGCCATTTAAAAATTATAAAAACAATCTATTAGTAGAAAAAAAGTGTTTTAGTAAACCTCACCTCAATATGCATAAATGAAATCGAAGCAACAGATCTGGGTCACGTGGCCCAGCAGACAAACGACATTGATTCACCGTTGAATCAATGTTAATTTTGGTGGATCAACGTTGAATCAACGTAGAATCAATGTCGTTTGCCTGCTGGGAATGAGGATAAAGGTCTATTAGACTTAACTGAGCTGCATGGTGCATACAGACAGAATAGTTTAGGAAAGTTGTGTTGAACAGAGTTGAGCAATTTTCTTTATGCCTCAGTGTGTTGCCGTGGGATTCACCAAAATTGCAGCACTCCTTGACAATCTTTCTTTGTCTGTGACGGTCTTCCGTGACTTACTTACTAACTTCGGTGACAATAGTTGTGATGCTCGTGATCTCGGTCACCTCAGGTGTTTTAGATCATATCAAAAGCTGATAGTCTTTTACATTAACTGTCATCAGTTGGCAAGCTTACTAATTGCTGATGCATTTTAAATGCATTGTAGTTGACCAAGAGCTCGTCAACAATAAAACCTGTTAATTATGCACCGCCAGGTAATAACAGGTATCAAACTCGTCTTGGTGGGCTTTCATATTTTTCAATATTTCTCATTTATTTCATGGGGTTATTTTATTGGTATTTGTAAATGACGTTAAATATCAATATTTAAACAATTAAGATCAAACACGGTCGCGAACATTAATAAAAGAAATTGCTCTCAGGGTATCTTGAAGCATGCGTATGCCCAGGCATTGCTTCCATGGAAGAAAATGTGTTGAGGAAAAACAGGAAAAAGAGCGTTATATTAAAGAAAAAATGGGAACTGCTGTAATAAAATGGTTCGTAATCCTAAAACGTTTATGCTTTGAGGATTTGTTTCTGAAGGTTATTTCATCTGAAATATTAAATGATTAATCATTTTATAACTTGAAACGCAAGTTCTGCATCTGTACGCAAAACTTTTTGCAGATTTGTAAGCTTTGTCAAACCCAAAAACATGTAGCAGATCAAGGTAAAATAGAGCATTGTTTGCTACTGGTAGCATGGAAAAAATCATTAATGTGTTTACTAAATGTGCAGTTTTACGTACGTTAGTATATTTTAAATTATGCATGGAGATTTAACCTGGTAAGGGATATAAGAAAGCCACAAACGGATTTTTTTAAAAGAATGTTGGATGTAAAAAAAGAGCACTTTTTTAATTTTTTAATTATTTGTAAAGTGCATTGAAATGTAAAAAATGGAATGCGCTATATAAGAAATAAATATTATATATATATATATATATATATAANGGCACACTGAATATTTTGGTATTTTTACAAACTAATAATATCTGCTGAAGGCTACCTGGACACCTGAAGTAAGTAACTCTAACACAAGTGAACAATAACTAACTACTGCACTACCTGTGCAGCTCTTTATTATAGTACCAGTTATGCAAATGACCCAATGCTACAAGTCCAATAAATATGATTGGCTAGTTTACCACTGCATAACCACTGCAATGCAACACTTTACTATAATTGTTTGAGATGTTATCACATACCCATTATGTAAGTTCTACAAGCGTTATATTAAAGAAAAAATGGGAACTGCTGTAATAAAATGGTTCGTAATCCTAAAACGTTTATGCTTTGAGGATTTGTTTCTGAAGGTTATTTCATCTGAAATATTAAATAATTTAAAAGATTAATCATTTTATAACTTGAAACGCAAGTTCTGCATCTGTACGCAAAACTTTTTGCAGATTTGTAAGCTTTGTCAAACCCAAAAACATGTAGCAGATCAAGGTAAAATAGAGCATTGTTTGCTACTGGTAGCATGGAAAAAATCATTAATGTTTTTACTAAATGTGCAGTTTTACGTACGTTAGTATATTTTAAATTATGCATGGAGATTTAACCTGGTAAGGGATATAAGAAAGCCACAAACGGATTTTTTTAAAAGAATGTTGGATGTAAAAAAAGAGCACTTTTTTAATTTTTTAATTATTTGTAAAGTGCATTGAAATGTAAAAAATGGAATGCGCTATATAAGAAATAAATATTATATATATATATATATATATATATATATATATATATATATATATATATAACAAAGTCACAGTCACCTCAACCTGTCCCTCTATAACAGGGTACCGAGAACTGACAACTTTGTGAACTTCACTCCATCACATTTACAGCCACTTATTCATCCTAGTGTTAGCTGACCTTGCAAGGAAGTTTATTGGAATGTATTTCAGAATAACAAGTTAAGAAAATTCACTAGACACAAAACAACTGTCACTTTTACTTTAAAACACCGTTTTTAATATTTTGATAAAGTTAGTTACTGTATTGATAAACAAAGTGTCACGTTTTCAATAATTAATATTTTAAATTACAATCCATGTCTTGCATCACGACGACCAAACAACAACGTTGAGTCAGTGACCAAAATACAGCGTTGAGTCAACGTCACATTATGACGGTGTTTTGACGTGGCTGGATCAACGTTGATTTTACGTTGAATTTAGGTAAATCAACGGCAATTCAACGTCCCAACCTGTTTTCAACGTTGATCCAACATCACTCTGCCTGCTGGATTGACATAACCACGGGACTGGGACCAGGGTCTAGTGTCAAAGGTTTTTTCAATTTTTGCTGTTCTAGCAGTCAAAATGTGACCTTAAATAATAACTTGGACCTGCTTTATACAATAAAATGCACTGTGTCAATTTTCTAGCCCTAATCTCCAAAACTAGTTGAGATACACCCATAGTCAATGCTGAACTTGAATAGGAAGTCATATAGTGATCATCCTAATATGACCTTTAATTTAACCCTTGACCTACTTAAAATACACTTGGCATATTTTCCAGCTATCCACAACTAAAACAGATACGTCCGTAGCAACCATTAAACTTGATTGAGCTTAATGGTACAACATCAGGCAGCAATATCCCCACTCTGATTCTTTACTTTTGTTTTCGTCCATACATGTATTAGTGCACCTTGTTATCGTATAATTTACATTAGGTAAAAATTATTGTTTTTTGTGTATTATCATTATCATTCAAAAGTTTGTTTAGAGAGCATTGATTTTTATATATGCATTTAACACTAAACAAAAAAGATCAGAAACGTGAAATTATTTTTCAATAATTGAAAACTATTTAATGTAGTGGGAAAATCTCCAGTGTATATAATTAAAAAGTAATGAATGGTGGAAACATAATCCATCTATATTTGTTTAAAATTACCGCATATGGTAATTTCATAGTTATTAAACATAACTGTTATTCCTAACTTCTTTGGTTGAGTGTATATGTAAATGTGTGTTTTGGACCTACAAACAGAGAAAATTTAGTATTTTCTTGATTTATCTACCAGTGCCTGAAATAGCTGGTGTCCAACCTAAAGCTTACTCTGCAGCCTCTGTGGCTGGCAGCCAGAGAAGTGTAAGAAGTGCCACTCTGCCAAGTCCACTGCAAGGAGATAACAGGGGGGGAGCAGGAATCAAGGTAAGATTTCACCTTTGATTTAAAAAATATTATGTGTAGTGGCATTTTAGTAATTGACTTTAGTAATCAGTTTTTGCAACTTAACAAGACAATTAATTAGCCACTTGTCTAAATACAGATATGATTTGTAGGAAGTTGAAGATTGGACAAGAAAGATGACATTTTTAGCCTTATAACATGCAAGTGATTACTTCAAATTAATAGTTATTATATATTATAATTTTCCATTCTTTCTTCAAATTTAAAAAATATTTGCTCCATTTGATAATTATATGTTTCATATTGTGACATAAAGGGTAGTCACCCCGGGCAAGACAGATTCAACTATGGAGGCACTTTTGAATAAATCATTGCATATACCGCCACATCCTAAAGTCAAATCTAACATTTTCTCCTGTCTGTTGTCCCTTACAGTAAATGTATCCGATGACATTTTGGGTTGCATGACGATAGCAGGAAGGTTCAATGGTCCTAAGGTTTATTGATATTCCTTGAGGTTCATTGAAATTTTGATAGACTAAGTCTGAAAGTATGAATGCATAATACTGTAAAGTTTAGAGGACTCAAAAGTACATATCTATCCATATCAGACAAATAAATTATATAGGAATATCAATAAAGTTACGTTTGAATATGATCTTTATTAAATCAGGATGTCACTAAGCTTCCCAAAGTAGTTTGCTTCAAAGGACTGCGCATCAAATTATTCCCATGTGACAGGATACTCAACCTACAATGATACAAAGTAGATGCACCTTATCGTGCATATCATACACCTCACTTAAAATAATAATTGAAAAGCTTATAGCTGTTAATTATTTTCTCAACAATGACATTATGCTTCCAAAGAAAGACAACATGCAGGTGCATTGTGGTGATATTCAATTTAATGCCAGATTCTTTCTACTAACCGTGATTAAAAAGGTTGTTTGGCAAGTTTAAGTGTCTATATAATCAAAAATATCAATTTTACAGTCTTAATCATCAGTTTGACCGATGAGATGAGACAGCAAGCTGTTTTTACCTGAATGAGATTTCATCACGACAATGGGCATGGGTGTCAGCAAGGTGTGAACAATTATCTCATGCACTTGGTGTGGTTTAAGATATTTTGTTATGGAGTTAGCTGGGGTGTCTTATTAATATGTTTCATTCAACAATAGCATTATTTTGCCTTATTATCAATACAGGAATGAACTCCACTGGCATGGACTTGATGTACAGTACGCAATGATGCCATTAATTTTTTTTTTTTTTTTTTTTTTTTTGAGTATGAACACTGAGACAGTGTTTGAACTAAAGGTGTACTCTGTGCTCTATTGATACCCTGTAGGTAAAGGATATTTATCTATATGGCTTTTTTTTTTCAGGTTAATAAACCTTCAGATAAATGAGCATTTCAAAAAGATTGAATTTGGACTTTAAAAACCTTCAAACTAATGAAATTTTGAACTAATGAAGCTTCAGACTAATGATCAATGAATGAAAATAAATCTCCTATATTCAGACCCCTGCCATAGAGCGGTCAAAGACTGAGGTGAAGACCCCAGGTATCTGGAAGACACAGTATTCCAAGAGTGTAATTGATAAGGTGATAAGACAATCCAGCAAGTTTGCAGAAATAGACAGGACACTACACAAGGCCTTGCTGCCAGATGCTAAGCAAGCTGCACAAAAATGGCTGTCATCAGCAAGTGAACAAGGTAGGGACCTTTGAGCTCCATTTCTCTTTGAACATATCTGGGTCCTGTTGCTCATAAGTCTTGAGTAATTTGAGAGGCAAAAAAAAAAAAAACCTTTGCCATGTAAGATTTACCAGATTTCACTGCTTTTCACATAGAATCTAAAAGTCATACAATAATAACTTGATCTTTCTAATGGGAAATTTGAATGTGAATTTTACAGACACTGCATCTTTTAGGGCATAACAGTAAATTCCTTTTCAGATCGTAGAGTTGCCCTCCAGTTTTTTCAATCAGTTGCTGGCACTAAGCTGATGGGAACCACATGTGAGGAACAAATGAACAGGCTGGATATGCTGTTAAAGCAACTGAACAGGTGAGGTGATATGGCACAATGAGGTCAGATGAGGAACCAATGGCTTCTTAGCCATGATATACTGGTACCATGTGGTTTCATTGCTGGAAATCCATTTGTCACTTATTTAATCATTTTGTTCAAACATTTGAATTATTTATGTAAATAGTTAATTCCATCATCAAATTATCTGCCACTATGAGGAATTTATCTCAAAAGAGCTTTATCAAGACATCTTTGTTCTGATAGGGGCAAATTGTTGTCACCAAATACTCCATGATATAGATTTTGATTGCATTTTGGACACTTTTACCCAAACTATTCACTTACCTTTGTTCATTCATTTAAAACAGTGTATCCAAGTGGAATTTTTAAGTAATTTGTTAATTTTTGTGGTCTAATTATACAGAAATCTATTATAAATCTCCATGCTTGATCTGAAAGTTCATTTTTTAAAAATAAAGTTCAAATGTTTAAAACACATCTGTAGTATATGTGAAGGTGAGACAGAGCATGGTTTCATATTTCCAAAATGTCAAAACCAATATGTAACAAATTTGCATTTTCAGAGGACAACCAATAGGAGCTTTCCTCCTACCAAGATACAAAGGCCCAGGAAGATTGCGAGAGAACACAAAGCTGCAATATATCCGCCTCCTGTCTCCCAAAACACGCGACGCACGTCCCATGCACACCACATGGCATCACCTTCCAGTGTATCCTGACAAGAACAGAGTAGAGAACAAAAGCTCTCATTTCACAGAGCCACATCAGCACATACCAAGGCACTTTGCTATCCATCCTGATTGGGGATAAATTGACCAATGATTAACTGGAATGATATAGCTGCCATTCAACTCAGACCATATTTCCAGTATGGGTCAAGTATAATCCATTAATAAAAGGGCAGGATATTTTTTATCTTTATCTGTAGAAATGCATAATACAACTTAAATTTTGATAAACTATAGTGTTTCTTTAGACACCAGTAGGTCTGAAATATACTTTCTTGTACTTTATCGTGTACAAACTTACAGGCCACACTGTGATACATACATGCTCAACTAATGTTTATTACTTGACATAGGCATTGTATTAATGTCTTTGCAGTAGTATTCTTTCTAATGAAGACAATCACATTAAGATAATAAGTTAACAACTTAAAAACATTACCTCATAATGCTTATTTTGTTGATTTGGGATGATAAAGTTGTTTGCTCTGGGTTTTTCTTTTTTTACCAATGCCCTTACAGGTCATAAACCTGATTTCGAAGACAGGACCTCTAGTGTGCAGTATTTGGAAAACTTAACAAGAATATGACTCTTATTGTGTGGTACCACTTACACTTTGAGGGAAAATAGCGAATTCTAATTATATAGTACTTTAAGCCATAAATTCTTTAAACTAGCTCATTCCTGTTGACACGTACCAACAAAACGCAAAGTCAGGTTACCTTAGAGTTCTACTTAAAACCACCACAATTCCTGTATACTTTAATTATATAATCACTTCAAAGCTATGTTTCTGAAAGATTTTTAATTAAGATTAATAATGTATGTTGCGATTTCTAATTGGCCAGGTCAGGTAACAAGATTGTACCAGACCTGATATTACATTATCTTAAACAACATTATTTCTTGGTCATTAATTAATATCTGTTAAAAAAGATCAAAAGTTATTATTTGTCCATATATAAGTTCAACTTCCTTACTTTGTTGATCTCCTCTCCTTGAATTAAGGCCGAAGGTAAGTTCAACAATAAGTGGTTTAAGAACATATTTAAAAGTAAAAGACCGCATGTTCACCTTGGGTGTAAATCAGATATTTTTTTTTTAACAAATCCTGTTTTCACCATAGATATGTGTATAAACTAAAGCAGTTTGAATTGCTCAAGTAATCCATTTTTATGTACAGACACAGTGTGTTGTCACCTGAATTGCAGCTACTTTCTACTGTTAGCACAATACATAGATACATGTGGAACGTATCCTCAAACTTACTGTAGTGACTGATACCAGTGAAATGCAGATCAACTTCAAATAGCAGCTTTTTGGGACCATTTTTGTCTGGGATTTTACTGTTTAGCATTAAGTATTATTGCATCACAGTTGACAAAAAGATGATTTGTTATGCTCAAACTTCTGCAGCATTTCGAGAAATATGCCAATACCTTGTAAAATTTAAACATTTATATTACTGATATTGATACAGTATATATATATGTACACATGGCAGCTTTGCTATGCTCATCACTTCAGCTCCAAAGCACAGCAGCTCATTGTCTTCAACTACTCTTTATTTGGATATGAATTCCATACTGTAACATACATGTACATGTATCTTGCAGATCAAAATCATATGTATATATATATATATATATATATATATATATATATATATATATATACAAATTCAACCATTCAAAACACTGATAAACAAAGAAGAATATACACAATTTTTAGTAAATATATGTTTGACAACAGTTTCAATTCTGACAAAATCTGTGATACCAGAAAGCAATGAGTAGTTCATATTAAGCAATTGCAAATCTCCTTTTATTGAACAATGTAACTTGCTTCATTAATTTGTCATTTTCTGTGTTTGATTACACTTATTGTATGTCACTTCCATAGCAAATGTAACACTCTATGCATAATAAACTTTTTGCACGTACCTGAAATTGAATCTGTTATTTCTTAAATTAATAACAAAGTAGTAAAAACCTATAATACAGAAATATACAAGCTTTATCAAGCCAATGTTATACAAGACTGTAACTCTACCTATATAAAAAACAGCTTAATGTTTCTTTTAAGTTTTACTGCACTATTTAAATGGAAATGGCATGGGGAAAAGAAATACTCATTGTTAACTTAATTGCGGCACAAATATTCAAACAAGTCATAAATTTTGCAAAAGTTGGTTCCAGTTATTCAACATATTGGGTCAGAGAAAACATTGGGTTGCAAACTACTGCCAAAATGGCGATTTCATGACCAAATTATATTTTAAAAACTTCCACAAATCAAACCAAATTCTATCAATGTTTGGTACAGATTGTTCAGACGTCTCAGTTATAATGATATATATTACATGAATCTGTTAATGTACTTTATTCATTGGGAAGAAATGTAACCAAGTTTTAAAGGAAGTTTTCAGTTTCAAAAGGATTAAAAGACTTAAAACATCCTGCTGCATAACACCGTTGGCTATGTTCAAACCTGAATTTCATGTTTAAAAAATCACGACATTGTTAGATTTATTACATAATACAGGGAAAATAGCAGTAGTGCATGAATCTTGATGAGATGCACTACTTTTAAGCCCCGCTAAGAATCATCACTTTCACCACATTGCATACAGGCAAGGCCAGACCAGGGTGGCCCGTCTGATACTTCCAAGCGCATACTTAGGCTGTATTCCCATAGATTTTAGATCGATCTATCCCCGCGGGGAGTCTCACTAGATTACTGTCAGATAATCCGGCTTAAATGTCCGTCCCGCCTACTGCAAGCTATAAGGGGAAAATTAACTTTCGTGTCCGCTCCGTTGACAGCTATTTAGCGTGAACCCCCAGGGAGTTAGGTCGATCTAAAGTAGATCGATCTAATCTCTGGAAATGGGGTCTTAGACACACCTTGAAAAGGGGTAGCGTGATCCGATATAGCGGTTAATAACACATAAAAAAATAAAAGCAAATTAAATGACAGTTATGGTGGGAACATAGCAGTGATGGCAATGATACAGACACGTATGGTTTTCATGTTATTTATATAAAAATGGAAATACATATTGCCGTCACTTGTGTTTGTTGTCGGCATTAGCATCATTATCATCATGCATTTTCAGTATTATACAAATAAAATGAAAGCAGTTTCACCTTTTTCCTTCAAACCTAGAGAACTGATGAATATTCATAAAACACGGGTTAAGTTCTAAAATCAGCCTGATCGGACAATTTTTCCCAAAGTTATCTTTTTTTTTTTAGCATATTTTATGCATATTTATAAATACAAATAAAATGAAAACCATTTTACCTTTTGTCTTCAACCTTACAGAACTGATGAAGATTCATGAAATACAGGTCAAGTTGAAAAATCGGCCTAATCGGACCTTTTTTCCCCAAAAGTTATGCCATTTCTTTGCTTTTTTTTTTAGCACATTTTATGCACCCTTATACAAATAAAATGAAAGCCATTTTACCAATTATATTCAAACTTACAAAACTGATGAATATTCATGAAATACAGGTCAAGTTTGAAAATCAGCCTGATTGGACCATTTTTCCAAAAGTTATGCTGTTTTTTTTTTGCTTTTTCAGCATATTTTATCCATCTAAAAGTTTATACAAATAAAATGCAAAACCACGTTATATTTTGCTTTGAAACATGCAGGACTGAATCAAAAGTCTGATATATAGACCAACTTCCAAAATTAGCTTGATTAGTTTATTTTTGAATTTTTGACAGTAACGAATTTTGTGCATCATTATATTTTTTAGTGTGTTGACAAATACTTAACAACCTTTTTCTGTTGAATATCAGAGTAAAGTAGTTTATTAGAAATGTCTTGTAATATTGTTGCAACCACTTTCTTCTTTCAATATATGAAGTAAGCAATCATTAAGAGAGTTATTGAACACAAAAATTGGATTAATTCATTAAATTCCTTAAAATGTCAGTGTATGGTCCCACTGTTGTGAGAAGTGACTCAGCAATGTGACTGAACATGTCACAATATTTATATCTGTGTAACTTATTTACTTATCTGTCTTATGTAATTGTCATCAATAGTAATTATCTATGTCATCAAACTGGCCTTAAACAGCCATGTAAACAGCTATGTAACTGTGGTTTTAAGTTTAAACATATCACATATCCTTTTGTGTAACATGTTTATAGTATGTTTATGGTAAATTTATAATCACACCAAGGTTTATCTCATTGCTTAGATAGAATATTTTATGAGTAATTTTACTAGTACGTATGTTCATTATATAAAGATTATTTTTTCCTTCACAAATGTTTAGGCAACATAATACCAACTAGAGAAATGGTAATGCACTAACTGTATTGTATTGTCATTAGTATATCGTATTGTAAAAGGTCATGACAATCTATGTACCAGTACAGAAATAAATTGAAAATAAATAAATTAATTGTTCTGCACAATATCTTTTAAATTGTCTGCCTTTTAGAAAATAATTTATAAGCAATTTGGATTATTTTCTCCGCATTTGTAAAAAAAAGTTTTCTACATTTTCCCTTTCAGAATACATCAAATTTTTTCTCATTTACAACGTGAAAATCATCCAATTTTTACTTTTCAGAATATCTCAGAAAATGTCACTTTCAGATTATGTACCAAAATTTCCCCAAAGGGATGCTTTATGCTACACCTTGGGAGTCTCCCTGGGTCTGTTGCCACAGGTGATGGGAGCTATAGAAAGTGAAGCAATCTTGGATGAGCCCAGTGAGGGCACTACCACATTCACCTACAGTGACATCCTTAGCATTTCTACAAAGCCTTTAAAACAGCCTGAGATCACTTGGGAGGCTGAGAATGAAATCTCTGAAGATCCCCACTACTGGCTGGTCATGGTTTTAATGGTATGTTATATTTTTAATTTTTAGGTCATTGTACAGTTTGGGTTGATTGAAAGTCAAGTTTTCTTTGTGATTTTATTAATTAATGGGTTGAGATTTCACAAGCGTAATTTGCACATATATGAGCACTTTTTTTCAGTGGCATGTTCACTTAGAGTAAATCATATATTTTTATATTCATTTCTGATGTCATTCAAATTAGCTTTGAAGTAATTGGACTCATCATGATTTTAAGGAATAAATGGAGCAAAAGTATTTTTGAAACATTGTGCTCAACTGAACGAAGACCTTATAATATACAGGTAGCATCTCACAAACATGCCAGTCACATGACACTAACCAACCACAAATATCAACATTAAAATCTTTTTGACCTGTATATTGTTACACATTCATGCATTTCTAACCAATTTCTGGTAAAATTATTTTCAGTCATACATTCTTTCAGTTTTGAGATGGCCTCAGTGTCATTGTTGATAACAAATTCGATCTGTTTGATCAATCAACTTCAACATTTGAAAATACAATTAAAAAATGGATGAAAAAATGCAGTCTGTGCTCCCATTTTTAGAAAATTTTGGCCGGTTTAACCTTGAAATAAAGGTCAAAGCTCAAATCCAAGGGCATGTTTGAAATCTCTACGTAGTACTTAATTTTTCCCATAATTTCTTTGGTTTGGGAGATATTTAGCATTTAATTTTGCAAATTTTGCACAAGGGTGCCTTGCAATGAGTGCCATACCTAGACCCCAGCACCAACAAAGCCCAGAAGTTACGTGAAATAACAAAAGGATTGATGTGCAAGAAAGGAGAAATTATTTGACATTGTTGTTTATTCATTTTGCCCCCCCCAAAAAAAAAAGTTGGAGGGTTTCTTTTAATTGTTTCCTTTCATTTATTTTTAAAGGCAATGTTTTAATTCTCATTTAAATTGAAAAAAAAAAACAGATATAATTAGTTTCTCATATTACCCTAAAAATTCTTTGGCAATATTTTAACACAAATCTTTATTATTTTCTCTCCCTTTATACCCCCGTCACACTAGAGGTGGAATGAGCAAGAAAGCCGTTGGAAAGACAATTCTTTGTTCTCTCCTGGATATTCGAAGAGCATTCTAAAAATTCCGAGTGCATTCTAAATATTTTTACCCATTCTTGTAGCATCCCGAATGTTTTTGTCATCTCAAAAACTTTCGAACTGCATTCAAAGTGGAAATTTATCAAATGGCATTTGAACAGTATTCTAACTGCACTATGACTGCATTCTTAATATTCTCACGGCTTTTTGACAGCATTCGAAACATTCTGATCACATTAGAGGAATATTCGAACTGACAAATGACTTAAAGCCCCCGTCAAACTTATTCGAAATCAGTAGGAATCAAGCCGGAATTCTAAATTAAAAAATTGGGGAGGGAGTACCATATTCGGAAGGGAATTTCAAATTATCATAAAATATTACGGCTTTGTAAGAATGCACATCAAACCCGCCTGGAATGATTCTTGCACATTCCAGGTATATTACCTCTCAAATGCAGCTCGAATGTTGTTGGAATACTGTAGGGATATTGCGATAAATTTCCTCTTGGAATGCACTTCGAAAGTTTTTGACATGACAAAAACATTCGAGCCGGCCACAAGATTGGGTAAAAATATTTGGAATGCACTCAGAATTTTTATAATGTTTTTAGAATGCTCTTCCAATATCCTGGAATGCATGAAGAATTGTATTTCAGACACCATTCTTAATCATTCCACCTCTAGTGTGACGGGGATTTTATATCCCGCCAGAGTGTTTCGAATGTGCCTCGGATGAGCTGAAATATTTATGTTGCCAGCAATTGAACTACACTAGTGCGCCGTTCAAAGTATATTCTAAATATTCTTACTGCCTTCTTACAGCATTATAAATATTCCTAGTTTTCCAACTACTTTCGAACTGCTTTTGAGAGCTACACAGTCGAAAGTGCACTCATCATTCCAGGCGAATTCAAGCGCATTCTGAGTATTCCAACGATACTCTTACAATAATAAAGATCAATTTGAAATTTTTCCCCCGAATGTGGTGCGAATTTTAAAAATTCTTCGTTCAGGCTCATTCTTCTTCATTCCTGCTGATTCCGAATAAGTGTGACAGGGGTATTAGAACCTTTTACGAGGAACTCATGCAATGGCCTTCCCCTGCACATCAACAGCAACCAGCACAAGGTAACCAAGAGCACTGTAGAACATGACAGCACACTTAAAATGCAACAAGGCTACAGCAGCTTGATCTACGAAGCCATGGTTACACAAAATGGCTCTTGACATAAATACTTCTTTTATATGAAAAAGGGAGCATTCACACAATTGGATCTGGACCCACCACTATTTGTCAAAGATTTTCTGTAATGTGTAGGTTGCAGAAAAAGAGAAGACCTTGTGCAAAGAATATGTATGTAGAAAGGAAGTCCAGAAGTTTGATTTGCATGACAATGAACAAAAATCTACAAGATCTTTGCCAAATGTGAATTAGTCGAGTAGCCAGAACGCTAACCCTGAAATGTTTTTTCCTGAAAAATATTTTTTGGCTGAAATGCATTCTTTAGGTTGAGAGAAGCAAAATTAGCTTGGTTGCTATTTCCTAGACATTGAGCATTTTTCAATATGGCCGTCAATTTATGAGGAAAAATAGAAAAAAGACCAGAAGTCGCCGGGTATAATTTATTGACAGCTTTTTTGAACGTGCATCCTGTCAGGAGAGCACAACAGTGCATACACAACAGTGAATACACTTAAGCCCGTTACATATAGCAAAAAAGCCAAAATGGCCGTCAAAACATATGGCAGAAATTAAAAAAAGCTGCAAAATAAGTTTGTTTTTTTTTGCAAATTTAGTCTTATTGAAAACATTACCGCCTTTTCTATTTCTGTCCATTATGATAATTTGTTAGTCAAGATCCTAAACTCTCAGAAACTGCCTATTTGACATTAATCAGATGGTGGCAGACGGTGCCATCTCCATTTCCACTCCGACGAGCCCCATAGTCAAAGCTTGCTATGTTATATCTTGCAAGCTTTTTAAAAAGAAATTATTTCATCTGGGTTACAAAACCTAGAGAAGCTTATAAGCTTGACTTTATTTGCCAGTTGATACATACGAGATATTGATAATTTTTCAAAATTCAAAATGGCCGTCAATTTGTTATATGAATAGCGACTTTTTCGTAAGGGAACTCCAGATCAGGATCGCTACATCAGGTTGCATCAGCTGCGGGACCAATTTCGCCATGCCAGTCGTACAGCACAAGAAGCACCCAGCAGGAACAACAAGCGGAGCAGCAGTCCCACTGTGCGTTGATGCTTGCTGGCGGTCAACCGATGGTGGTCGTTAATGGCAACATACCAGCAACTGCTCGTCACTACATAGATCAGAATCTGCAACCTCATTCATGCAGCAGAAAACTGAAATCACCGTTTCCCAACAGGACAAGACCCGTTCACATTCGTCACAAATGATCCAAGTGTATCTGGAGTCCCAAGGGTGGATGTCCTACCCTGGCTTGTCTATATATATATTCTCCAGATATGAATCCGATTGAACACTTGTGGTACTATATATATATCTCGGCCGTCCGTTGGCCAAGCCAGCAGCTGATCCAGGCACTACCACAAGGAATAGGATTCTGCATGACACCATCCCATCCAGATTGCCCGAGCATAAGTCAACAGATCGCCGCCTGCATCGAAGCAAGCGGAGATCGTACTGGCTATTGACCGTTGTGACTTTGTGTTGGGCTGGTACCATTTTTGTTTTGAAACTATTCATGAAACTTAAGATTTTTGGTTCTGTATACCAATGTCCTAAACAAATGATTTATATGAAAATAATCCAGTTAAGAGCTTCAAAATAACAATTACTTTGAAAAATATGGCCTCCAAGATTTTAATGGCTCTCAGTATATAACCAAAAGATGTTTTGTTTATTGACTCTTTAAAATGTAAAGTGAAAAAAGTGCAGTGATAAGAAAAATTAGAAATGCTGTTATATACTGATAAAATATTCTTACACGTGCCAATCTCAATAAAAAGAATGGGAAATTTTAAAGCTGTATTTTATGTACATACTGAAAAAGTTACGATAAAGATATAAAATCAAAATATTAAGGTATGATCAATATAAAAACAAAAATGAAAAAAAAAATATAAGGTAAATATTTTGACAAAAAATTAAATTACATTCCCCTCCCCACCCCCTGTCCCCACCAACAGACTTGGTTGGACTCCATGTAAATACGAGTCCCGATTTTGGACTCTCTGTGCCCAAATTCCTGCAGAACCCCCTGTTGGCCCTTGATAAACTTTTCATCAGACTGAGCTTGTATTAAAAAAAGAACTTACGTAATTGGCGGCCCTATCAATGATCCTCTGTTACAGAGTCTTAGTATAACTGTACCTTTCAAGTACACTTTGTCAATAAATAAAAGGGTTTGATATATATTATGTGCCGAATTATCAGTTTAAAACATAATTTAACTGATTTTTTACCTTTTTGGGCTTGTTTTAGTGGTTATTTGAAATGTGGAATACCATGCACTTTAAACCCGACTCTTTGCTGTGTTACATAATTATTTATTAATAATGATATTATATTTTTATATTATTGATGGCCATCTTGAATTTTAAAAATTGATCAATGTGCCTTATGTAGCCACTGCCAAGAAAGCCCAAATTAAATTGGCTTTCATACCCCCAAAGTATTAAATTCTTTTAAAAATTTAAGGGAATAACATTCTAAGTATTTGACTATGGGACCTGGGGAGGTAGCAAACAGACTCTTGGGGGGTTATTGAACTGTCAGATAATCTTATTCCAAGAGTTTAGGGTCATGACTAACAAAATATTATAATTAACATAAATATAAAAAGGGGATATGGTTTTAATAAAACTAAATATGCAAACAACAAACTGATTCTGCAGCTTTTATCATTTTCTCCCTTATGTTTTGACGGCCATTTTGGTATTTTGCTAAGTGGTACGTGATTAAGCTTATTCACTAGTACTGTTGTGCTCTCCTGATAGAATACACGTTCAAAAATCTGTCAATAAAGTTTACCCGGCGACTTCTGGTCATTTTTCTATTTTTCCTCATAAATTGACGGCCATATTGAAAAATGCTCAAGGTCTCGGAAATAGCAACCAAGCTAGTTTTGCTTCTCTCGGCCTGAAGGATGCATTTCAGCAAAAAAAGTTTACAGGAAAGAACATTGCAGGGTTCGACTATTGGGCCTATGGGGGTGGCAACTCGACTAAATGCATCTCCAGCACCATTATTCACTCTTTATACAGTGTTCTGAAGATAAGATCTAGATTTATTCCATATTGCAAAACTGTCAAAATCATTGAAATTTGAAATGCATGTTGTTCAAGATGGTCTGGCATGTCATGTGACCTTCATGTGATTATCATGTGACTTCATCCAATTATGTCAGTCACAGCTGTTATGAAAGATATAAAAGTTTCTCATTTTTGTATGTTTGTACATACTGATAGTTGTTTCTATGCTTCTGTTTCCTTCTAAATTTCCTAATGTTAACAGTTGTCCTGTGAAATCTCTTTTCCTTAGTTATCCACAAATTATCGACACAATTCTTTGCCTACTTCTTCAGTCTTCCAAAGCCAAGCCATATTCTTCATATAGTTCCTTAGTAGTCACTCCTTTTTTTGTGGCTTTAAATAAAAGAAGTTGACATATTAGCTATATTTATCTTATAGACTCAGAGTGCCCATAAGAGGCATACTAGTAGGGGAAATTTTAGCATCAAAACAAATTTATGTCAGCAAAAGTAACTCTATGAATACATACTGAAGAAAATTTCAGACATGTAACAAGATGAACCCATGTCATACCATTAACATACCAATTTGTCCTAGAAGCATTTGTCCAAGGTCTTTAATTTCATTGTACTGGTGCAGTTTCTCTATGTGAGTTGGAAGTTCCTCCTGCTTATAGCCTCTGAAAATTGGAAGTTTACATCTAAATTCTCATTATGTGCTTATTTGCTCTTTAACAGAACATGAATTGTTTATCTCACCCATACTATTAAAATAAGAATAAAACACCTTTTTTGAGATGCTCGTAACTAATTAACCAGCAGATCCACCATTATACAGATTACACGAAATTGTGTCATATTTTGCTTGTAGGACTAATTCATGAGACTAATATATAAATCAAGTTCGAAAATAAGCTTGATCGGTTCAGTTTTGATGAATTTATGCCTTTTTTGTATATAACTAGTTTTCCCTTAGATTCAATTCTTAGGCATTTTACATGTAACAGTCTCATTATTGAACTAATCAGATATGTAAAAAAAATTCCGTACAGACATTTTCTGCATCTTAACAATATTGTTAGTTGATTATATAAAAATGATTGTAAACCTGTTATAATTGTGTATTGTGTAATAAAATTATATACTGTGTTTATTGCATATATGCTGATAAAAAGACGACTTTTGGCAAAATAACTTATCAACTTTTCATAGAGTTTTTAGGGTGATTATCGATCAAATGTATCTTTAGCATATGAGATTTATTTTTCATAATAAAAAATTGTAAAAACCATAGAAATATAATAAACTCCATTTTACCACCAAAATAACACTTTCCACAATTATCCTGGAATATGTGCTTGCCAATAGACCATGTCGCTTGTTCTTTGAGGATAAAAGTGTGAAGCATCAAACACATATTTACAGGAGTAGAGTTTTACAAAGACAAAAGAAACATCTATATTTCATTGTTTTCTTTTTTACTTAAAATTTAGGGTAGTGAGATTGCAAATAATATTTCATCAAACATGCATATTACTTACTGCTTCTGCAACAAATTTATTTCTTTATCTAGTTCAGCTAAGGTCTGCCTTAAGCTTTTAGCGTCCTTTTGTAGTTTTTCCATGAGCCCTTTAACTTCATTTGCTTGTCCCTGTTTTGACTGTCTTTCTGACAGCTTTTTGGCAACACTCCCTTTATCTATTTTTTCAGCTGGAGTAGTTCAGCCACTTTTTTTTCTAAAATTAAAAAATACTTAATTATGAATTACCAAAATAATTTATATCTCATATCAATTTATAAAATTTCAAGGAATAAATTTTGAGAAAATTACAAATTAAGAAAACAAACAAGTAAACAGAAAAATATTTACTCAAAATTAAAGTATATATCAGACATTGTGAAAACTCTTGGTCCAAGGAGCTCTAACAAAAAGGGGGGGAAAGAGTCTGTTTGCCAGTCTCTCATTGGTCTGAATGAATAGAGCCCAGAGAACAATGGGTGACTACATCTGCTACGATCTTGTTTAAATACCGTTTTCTGGAAAATGATCATTCACTAGGTTGAGAGCATTTCGAGAGGTTGCAAATGGAAATGAATTCAAAAGTTTGTTAAATGCAATAAGAACAGGGTGCAAAGAATAGTATTTGATAAAACTGTGGTATAGTGTCCAGGACCCTCTTGTAAATGTCAGGTAGTCCCAACCCTCCCCCTGTAAATGTCAGGTAGATTGACACCCCCCCTCCCCCTGTCCCTATTCATGGGTGGCTTTACCACCTAGGGGTCAGTGAGTGTCAACATCTACTCACATCAGTCTGACGAAGGATTCACTTACAAATTTGTTAAGATAGACTTAAAGAATATTTGTGGGATTCGGCTTGAACAGCACAAATATTGTCAATTGAGAAAGACTTTCAGTTGGCAAGAATGTCCTAAGAATATTTTTAGGTTTCAGTTGTTATGGTGTAAGAATCAACCAAGATGTTTTTGCATCTGGAAGTTCAGGACTAAAAATTTGAACAAACTTTCATCCTGACTATACTACATCTCAGTGACTGCAAAAAATGAACTAACTACCATAAATAAGAATCAGCAAAGAGCTTAAAGAATTTATCACGATTAAACTAAGAGACCATTCCCACAGATATTTAGATCCATCTATCCCCCTGGGGAGTCTCACTATATTGATGTCAGCTTAACTGGCTTAAATGTCTGTCCCTCCTACTAAAAGCTGTAAGGGGGTAATAAACTTTTGTGTGTGCTCGGCTCCCAGAAGCTGACAGCAATTTAACTTGAATCCCCAGGGATTTAACCCAGTTTAAGAACCCTGGGAATTATCAGTTTCTGGTAGTGCACGGAATTTGGGACTGGAGCATAACTTGGTTGTTCTCATCGGGGGCGTCTCGATAGTCCGAAGGTTCATTGGTCCGAAGGTTCTATAGTGAATATTCGGACCAATGAACCTTCGGACTATTGAACCTTCGGACTATTGCTACGGCCCCGTTCTCATCATTCTGGCAACTCTAGTTATGTGCGAAAGGACAAATCAATCATCCTCATACAGTACCATAGTTATCACAACAATGCTGTGACTAGGATTTGAGGTCTCAATGAGAAGTACTATCCACTATCCGATCACGGCTTGTTCAACAGCCTTGGCTGCTACAGCGGATTGCTTTTCCAATTGCTAAGTTTGTAAGTATCAATATGCAATCAAGCATAGTAATTTGAAGAAGCTTTTCGTAAAAAAAATTTAACAGAAGAACAAAATTTTCAATGTCGCATTTTAGCAAGTATAGCCTATAGATCTGCCTGTCAAAATGAAATGCGGTAATCAATCTCAATGTCACCAACTTCCGGTTTATATCTTAAAGCGGTTCTTTTAGAGTCATCCGATGTATATCTTCGTTTAAAAACACACCCCTTCTTTGCATTTCAAAAATTATTTTGTTAGGGATACCCTTTTCACACATTCGTATCCTTCGTTAAATAAACCCTTTTTGCATTTGTGTAACGATCAGTGTGTTACATTAAAAAAACTGTTTGGAGTCACAGAGCAGAGTTTATATTTAAAACAATAGAATATGCCTCCCAGCCATCATATGTACACCGAGTAAAATAGTTAATTAAATGAATTGAAAATTATTTTAGGTCATTGTTGTTTTTTTCTAACTGTTACTTATGAACGTTTTCTTTACAATCGTTACGAAACTAAAACTAAAATCTGCTTCACTGCTTGAAAGCGATGGCGCGGTTGTCGCAGGGGTAAGCACTGTTTTTATTATGTATAGACTATATAAATATGTTTGGAACGTTGTAATCTATTCGGATTTGATACGGATTATATTAGGAGGCAATATCTGTATCTTTCATTCCACTACAGTTCTTTCAAATCACAGTAGGGTACACGCTTGCCTAAAATTTGTTACACGTTAAGTACTTGCCACATTTTCTTATTCCCCTAAAGTTTATCAGGCCCAGGACATACACATCATGCATAAAGCTACATATCTGAATATGAAGAATCCGAAGACTAATGAAATTTAATGCACTGTATATCAAGACTTACCTTTGTTTGAACTATTGTACAAGCTCACCAGAAAGGAAGATCCATTTGTGACAGTGTGTTATTTTCCTCTGAAGATTTTATTGAAACTAGTCACATTTATTCACAGCAGCTTCATGTAACTTAATAACAATAAGTGCATGGCCATGTAATGTGCAGAAGTGTATGGAGGGGGGGGCTAATCCATTTATAAGACCTGTTTAAAAGTGTTAATTTTATATTGGACTTACATTAAGGTGAGTATTTATAAATGAATTGGGGGGGGGTTACNAAAGTGTTAATTTTATATTGGACTTACATTAAGATGAGTATTTATAAATGAATTGGGGGGGGGGGGGTACTTTGCCAGTTGTATATAGTAAATTATTTAAATGTTATAAAGGTTCAAACTAACTTTGTGTTAAAAGCAGGATATTTTGTTTTTAGGTCAACCAGGGATTTATGGCAGTTCCTAACTGGGGCAACAAGACCTCAGGTAAGTATGTGACAAATCTGCCTAGACCTAAAGAAAAATTTAATGTTTAAATCTTACATAATACATTGACGTATACATGTGCGTTCTTGGACTTGCATTCTACAATTTGTTGATAACAAGAGAATACTTATTTGAACTTGAAAAAAATATACTTTATTATGGAATACCTTAGCTTTGTTGTTTGAATTAGCTTGATTTTGCGGTATGTAAATTTATATGAAAGTGATAATTTAATTATTAAAAAAATAATTTAACATAAGGGAAGTGACGAAAACAGTTGTTTGTAGTTTTTGACTGGTCATTAGTTTGGTCCCTCTCTAGAAGTTGTATTTGTTAAATTTATTGTGATTGTTATTTAGGAACTGATTGCCATGCAACTACATCAATACAAGTTTCTCCTGACTACTGGGTTATCCTACTATAAGCAGCCAAGGTAAGAAACTTTTGTGGAAATAAAGCATATTTTATTGATATTTTTATACTCTGAAGTGCCGAATAAGAGTGCCTACCGGAATAACAGTGCCCCCTGGAAAACTTTCCAAAATTAATAACAGTGCCTAGCGGAATAACTGTGCCCCCTGGAAAATTTCCCGATATTTAATAACAGTGCCTAGCGGAATAACTGTGCCCCCCGGAAAATTTTATAATTTCAATGAATAATTGTAATGGCAATTTTAAATTATATTCAAATCTGGAAAAAATATGTTTATTAAACATAAAAAACACAATATCTAGACAAATTTACCTTTGATTTTATACACATAGTTTAACATATTTTAACTATTTAGAGTAATCTCTATCACCAAGCTCCCCCAGAAAATATTTTCAATCGAGGTGCAATTTGGTGCATTTTAGGGTATTTATGTAATTTTTTTTTACATCTTATGTGTCACTGAATTGTCTTGTTTTAGATGTTTTGAGGAATTAATTTAGTAATGACATAACAAAGGTTTAGACAAAATTTATTTTCCTGTCTATGCATTCACTCAGTTTAGTCAATCTTGAAGTTTAAGGTTCAGCAGCAGCAGTTCCTATAATGCTAATTTAAACTTTCAAAAATTATAGAACAT